CGCCTTTGGGCAATGCGGGGTAACCTTTGAATAAAGAATAAAGAGTCCTCTTATATAGGCGAATGTGTAAGCGACCCTTTGAGACTTTTCACTATTCGATCCACCAGTCGATATGCATGACGGGCTGCCTTTCCTGGGAAGTGCAGTACTACCGAGGATATCGCCAACTCTCATGGCTAAATTTCAGTTCTTCTCAACCTATGGTGCATGAACTTTCTTGGTGTATTTCTGTACGGATGTGTAAAGTGCACTGTTTGTCAGCGCCCTCAGAAACCACTCAGCAATCAACGTGTACCTTATCGGTTAGATGACTAAAAAGCGGCGAAATCATAGGGGGAACTGTCACGGACAGCCATTTTTGGCGACACCGCGTCACGGCAATTAACGGGCGCCGTACTCCCCGACTGACCGTGAGAATGGCGGCGCATGAAAGGGAGCCGAGAAGTGCAAATTGGGGTCCTCTTCTTAGAACGTCGCCGCTGACAGTCGACCTTTTTGTAACTGCGGTGGCGTCTGCAAGGTCGTAGAAGGCCGCGGTATACCCCGAACAAGGATTAGACTACAAGACGCACCGGCTGAGAGCCAAACGTTTGACCGTTCCCACGGAGAAAAGCGTGGGAAACGCTCTGGTGGCCAAGCCGTATGACAACAACCCGACAGGTTGTCACTCTCGCTAGTTGAGGGCCCTCTCCCAATTAAAAAGGGGTGGGGTCAAAATATTTTTGGGGCGGAGTTTCCCATCAATTAAACGCGCATTATTGGACCCAGGTAGAGGTCTTTTGTCCCCAAGAGAGGGAGGAGACACGAGAGAGATTTAAGCGCAGGGTTTTGCTGTGCTAGGCAGACTAGCCGCTGACCAAGATGGTGTAGAAACAGATCAACAAGCATCTCTTCTAGAAGTTTTTAGTGTGGCTCTGTACCGGCTGGCCACCTAAACTTAGCCGTTCGTCTAGTTGTGACGCGATATTAACATCTGCAACGTAGACATCGGGACTTCGCCTCGAGTTAGCTCAGCCTGCTCGAGGTCACCTGCAAGCACTAGCCTCCCGGAGCCACCAGCGTTGCAACACCACCGACATCGCAGTCGTGCCAGAACTCTCTTCGACTTCTCGCATCCGATCGTCGGGGACACAACGCTGCCGGTCATCACACGTATGCCTTCACCTGTTTATATCTTCGAACTTTCTCCTCCGTCGTTCTATTCTTGTTAGTTTGTGTAGTTTGTAATAGTTCTCTCTCGTAAGCTGATTTATTGTTTCTGTTATATATTTCTTTAGTTGTATCAAGTGTCGAAGTATTTTGTTAGTTGTATTGAAGTGTTGTATTAGATCCCGTGTGCTGCAATATCACTAGAGTAAAGTTGTTTTGTTTTCTCACATCTCTGATCTCTTCACTGTCTCTGCTTGCGTACGGAACGAACCGACCTGCTGTCATTCCCGTCGCCGACTTCGCGCTGGCGACGCTAGAGTGGCAGCTTGTAACAGGAACATCCTCGCAGCTGAGATATATACTGAGTTGAGCACAGCGAGCAGTTATGTTTATTCTCTTTGAAACTAACATTCCTAGATGAAGGGTAGCTGCTGATTGTGATTATTGACTTATTGATTTATTTTGATCTAAATGCCCTGTGCTTCCAAGTTTAGGGGAGAGAGCATACGCAGACACCAATGACATCCAATTAGAAGTGAACAATGAACACACACACACACGCGCACGCGCACTTGCCATGATGGTCTAGTGAGACTCGGCTACTGACACGCAGGTCATGGGATCGAATCCCAGCCATAGCGACAGCATTCTCTATGAAGGCAAAAATGCTTGAGGCTCATGTGCTTACATTTAGGTGCACGTCAAAGAACCGAGGTGGTCGACATTTCTGGAGCCCTTCACTACGGCGTCTCTCATCAAGTGGTGTTTTTGGAAAGTTCAACCACAACAGTTATTATTACACACTCACACAATAAAACAATACATAAATAAATAATAAATAGTAACAGACTGCACATTGAAGAGTTTCTTTCGAGGCTATTTCAGCGTTACAATAAATAAAAACACAACAAAATTATTTCTTGTACTACACCATTGGGAAACTATTTTTCCAATAATCGGTTACGTAAAAAGAAAGTTCTATAGGCAAACTTCGTCACGGGTGTGAAATTCAGTACATGGCGCGGTTGTGTTCGACAATATAAACAACTATGATAAGTGGGGTTTAACGCCCCAACACCACCAAATGATTATGAGAGACGCCGTAGTAGAGGCCATCCGGGGTCATTTAACCATTATAAATAACAAAATAAAGGTACGAAAAGGACGAGAATTCATCAAATGACTTGCCTTTGTTAAACATAACCTTGGTGAAACCAGATCTTCGAGGACGGAACATGTGAACTTAAGTTAAGCGTAGTAAATATTACTACAGTTCAGTTTTTTAAAGAAAAAGTACGAGTAAGGCTCCGTATGTTTTCCTTGGCTTCTTTCTTTAGCATTCGTATAGATGTGGCAAATTAAAAAGACGTCGCTGACTTTACTATTCTTCTTGTTGATTTTATTGTTGGCATCTGCGGCATGTTAGACCATAGCACGTGGGGCCCAATTGGTCAGCCCATGATATGATATTAAGAATGTTTTACATTCCCCACCATCGTCATGTAAGGCGCTGGCTACCACTGCCAGAGTTACACGCACTATGTGGCACTTTTAAATTTTTTTTGGCAGATCCCACGTACCTGGGAATCGACGTTATGCGAAGCATGCGGAGGAAAGGTGACCGTGTTGCAATTATTTTATTGAGCAACACGTCATGAAATGACGCTAAGTATGTGTACAAATGTTGCAAACACAGACATATGTTAAGAAGTGCAGATGTTTATATAACCAGTTGTTCGCACTTGCGCAACGATGTCGACTGCAACATGCGTATTGGCATAACCAGAAGCTGATATGAAGCGCTGATGCTGGCGAAAATCCCCTTCACACTGCTACATAAATCAACACCACAAGTGACGTTCACCCGACGTGACGGCTGTATCAAAGGAGTACATACGTAATTTTAAAAAAAACTGAGTAGGCAGCACCTGCAACCACTATTGACATTTAACAAAGATTAGCGTCTATTTGAAAAGCAGTTCCGAGACCTGGCGTAGCTCTGTGGTAGAATGCTTGACTGCCACGCAGAATGCTTGGGTTCGATTCCTACTGGTGCCCTGAAATTCATTATTTGCATTAGTCGAGGGGTCAGCGTTGTCTAAGTGAGTTTTATTCTTAGCACAGGCATTTATTCTATAACTTCGTTGGGTCGACGCTACCGATGTCGGGTATTGCTTAACGCTCACGCGTCGAAATTTCTCGTGCGTGTGGTCGTCGTTCCTTGGGTAGGTACTATGTGTCAGTCACCTATGACACATACCCGCATATATGTGCTACTGTCCGGCGGGAAGTGTTTGACGACGTGCGCGACGGTATACGACATTATTCATGTATTGACCAGCGCGTGATATTCGTCTAACCATATGTCATGCCCCCTCGCATGATAGTTTTGGCTCATGCCAAGTTAAGGGGGTACCACTAGAGCACCCAAACGTAAGTGGCTAGATAGATAGATAGATAGATACGCTCAAAGTCGCCGAGGTTCGCTAAGAAATGCTTAGCGAAAGGCCGATTGGGGAATTAAGCGGCATCAGCGGCGCTGCTGTGTAATAGCTCGTAGAGCACCGCACACGACCTGCAAAAGTTGCGGGTTGGGCTCCCATCAGTGGCGTTTCCTTTCGACTCATTTTTACCGCGTATTCATATCACAGGTATTATTCATACATCATTCATATAAAATCGTAAAATACTCTTTTTCAAGACTTTTCAGTGAGCCCACTGGGCTGGCACATGGTAGAGTTTTCCATTTGCGGGTGTGCTCGGCACAGGCTAGTCACGGCTGTTGTGCACGACATCGCGTTCAGTTGGTTTTTGCTTCTGCAAAGAGCATTGTAGAGCAAGGAGTAGCCGAACTCACGCGTGATCACCAACCTCTCCTAAACCACATTTATTTAAATAAAAAAATTGGTCCCGTATCTGCATGTTACACTGTAAATGTCGTCAAAGACGATAGTCTTGCGTCTGGAGAGAGGGAACTGAACATTTATTGGATGTTCTGTGCATGAAAATTGGTTATTTGTATACTGGAGGCGCTGCGTTAGAGTGCCTCGAGCGTTCAGCGGAGGCGAACGAGCGCATCAAGTCACGTGACACGTGAAACATCAGCGCTATCTGGCAGTTATCTGGGAAAACGAAGCAAGTGCACCCTGCGCGCCCGTCTCGGGGGTGATAAGGTGTAGAACGCAAGGCGTCGGGCAGGTGCCACCACCGTGTCGTCTTGGCAAAGCGTTAAAAACACTTGCCTTTTCGTGGAAGTGTTCCCTAGTCAGCGCAACGTGATAAACGCTACGGTCCTTATAATTACTTATGTATGCCTTTTCTAGTAAGACACACACATACAGAATATTGGCGTGTTGTTAGGGTCCCTCAGATATGCGCAATAATTGCTTTTAATTGACAATCGCACAAGTATGAAAGGTGAATCTTGAGCAATATTGGTGGGCGCTGCGGATGGGCTCAGCCGTTAAGAGTATCATTTGGCCACTTTGGTTCTATTTAGGGTACCGTTAAGGGCGGACAAACAGACCAAAATTTTTGCGTCAAAGGTCCTCAATAAAGACTATCGTTTTTAAAAAAAACATTCGTTAACGCAGTAGCCGTGGAAGCTAAGCTTCAGGCGCACTTTGAGTGGTGCTCTTCACTGGTTGAAAAGTCGATAAAGTGCGTGCTTTGCCCGGGAAATAAAGGAGGACTTCAGTTGCGCAGAAGTCCTCACGTTGAATGCGTACGTAAGAACAGAAACCAGTCAACAGTAACGTTGGTAGAAGGACGCGTCCACGACGACAAAACGAGACTCAACCAATCTTAGATAATGGTATTAGTGCCCCAAGAATAGGAACAGCCTCACTCACTTCCATAGAAGTACTGGTCGACTGTCTTCAGCCATCCCAGATCCATGTGTGTGTGGGCCAGCACGTGGACGTTTAACATGCCCGGTCTGGTCGCCGGACAGCTCTACAAACGAAAAAAAAGGAAGACGCAAAAAGAAACCTTTTAGGTAGGCACAGATCAAAGAAACTCAAATAGAGCTGCTTAAGTGGAAATTATGACTCAAGAGTGGACCCGTGCCCACCCTAAAGTGCCGACCGCAGCCACATCTTAAGAGGGGCACGATAAAACATTAGCGTGTAGAGAAGAAATGCTCTCTTACGCCACAGAGCTTAGTCTACATGTATGGCCGTTGTTCCTGGAGAGGAACTCTTCAACTTGTGTCTTTGTGTTACTGGTTTCATCAAGAAGTATCAAAGTATTGGCGCATATCATTGAAGATTAAGTTGGCTTTAGTAAGACAGAAACATCATCTAACAGAACCCAAACTCAAAGACAAAAAAACGTATGAAAACAAGCAGGGACTTGCAACGAATGAGCAAAACTGCGTCACTGAACATACAGCGCGTGCAGATAATGGACCCGAGCCCGGCGTGCTTCTTGGAGTTTACTAATCAGCACGTGCAGAGTAAGTTCCGGCGGGAGCCTATCGCATACGCCAAGGCTCGCTTTCACCCCTGGCGGCCAGAAAGCACGCGTTATCAGATTGCTGGCATCATAAACAAAGTTTCAAGAGCTGGCAACACGTCGCATAATCTCTAAACACGCCTGGTTCGATGTTTTTTTTTTATTTCTTTCGCCTGGATTTCCCTCCTCTATGCACCCTTGTAGGCGCACTGTATCAGCCCTGGCATCACTGATACTATAGTTACAGCGCCTCTAAAGCATCATTTCCGTTTGGGTATAAACTAGTCTATCCGATGGATACACCTCCTCAGAGCCTTGTGCTACAAAAAAAAAAAAAACGTGGCTGATACCCTTATACAGGCATCGGTGTAACACGTAAGTAAAACATGTCTTCCCCGAGGTAGTTGAGCATTTATTATGCACTCATTCAGCAACAGCAACAAAATGAAAAGTCAAGTTCAGAACGGCAATCAGCTCGAAACTTGCAGCGCACACCTCAAGCAAAAAGCACGCGCGATATGTTAACATACAAAGGACGAGTGCGGACTAGCAACTGTCACAGCTCGACACTTAAAAGGCGCTGTTCAAACACAAAGACAGGCACCTGAAACGAGCTCACAAGTATGCACAGGACAAGCGTGAACAACTGTCACAAGTCTTCCATCGTCATGTGCCAGCAGCACACTCCTTTCGTAAAGGCGGCCACGGCACCGAGCGAAGTGAACTTCGTCTCTACAACGTGATATCCGCGACGGAGATACGTCAGCGGAGCCGTGGTGAACCCCGGCATAAAGCACGTTCATGTTAAAATATACAGCATGAAAACGACATGGAGCTGTGCAGAGTTGAGAAATGGTATACAAATACAGTGTCACAGAACATTTTTTTTTGTTCAAGCTATTTCGTTACATCGGCTAATGACAATGAGCATATACCTTAAAAACGTTGATAATGCCATGCCTAAGGCACTACAGTACATTCAAAGTACATTAGCCGAGGCAAGCGTATAGATTTCATGCACGAAAAAAAATTTTTCCAGTAGTTTGCAGGTGCTATATCTCATCGGGGACCTTTCATGCTCTCTCATAGGCCTTCAATACGAGACACGTTTCTCACAGATGCTGAGACCCTAGAACACGCTTAAAGTGACAAACGTGCCGAAACACTGTATTAAACGTTACTCCCCCACTAGCAATTAAGACAGTGTTGTTTCTCTCTTTCTTCATTATATTTGCCTTTCTTTCTTCGTACTCTGAAGGTCAGCTCAGTCCAGGACCGCACAAGGTGTTGGCTAGGCCATATACACTAGATGCACAGTGAATTGCATGTTCTCACCTCATATCCGCACTTTTGATTCGTTTGTCCTTGGAAGACGCCGAAGACGCTGGAGCTCTCAAGAAGACGGCTGCTGTCAGGGCGATGACCTTGAGTTAGCTTCATGACGGCCCGTTGCTCTTAGGCGTCGAAATAAATGAACACTTCCGAGGGTATTGAACTCCAGCCTACGCTCACAACAACCGCCTGCAGTCGTCGTCCCTGCAGGGATACACAAAAGAAAGACAATACAGAAACAGCGGTGATTTCGCCGCAACACGTGTTTGGAGGTGCCCGCCGCTGGCGCACCTAATCAGGTCTGGGAGGAAGCCGGGCGGTCGCGGGCGGCACTGAACTCTTCGCAGCCAGCTGACGACGCTCGGGGGCTTCAAGTTTCGCACTCATAATCTGATCTGAGCGACAAGGAATGCTGTGTAGGGAGGAGTCTCCATGCTTTATCGTATATGGGTGGGGTGGCTGTCTGACCGTGTAGGGAGCCATCACTCTCCACTAGGAAGATGCTGCTAGCAGCCTGGCATAGAAAGGCGTTGCAGCGGCGATGCATAAAAGGCCGAAGCAATCAGCTGACTACCACGCACGGGTATTGTTGGGCGAGCGTGTGCCGTATTATCTGGGGCCTCTCTATTTTCTCTCCATCAAGGCTAAGATTGACAGCGAAGATTCGCGACACCACTAGTAGGCGTTGCATCGACGGTCGTCTTGTCTACAGTACTGAGAGGAGAAATGGTTCCCTGCGTACGCCAGCACACACCACAGTGATATGACTGTTTACATATATTGGTTAAAAAACATAAAAATAATCGCTGATTTTATAGTCCGATAAAATTTTGATATTTCATTTTTGTTTTCTTTTACCTCTTGTCATTCTACATGTTGCCTATGTAGTATTTTTGCTCTGCTGTTTATTGTAGAATACGGCGGGGCGGTTTATTTATACTATGCAACCCCTCGCAAAAAAAAAAAAGCAAGCTGGGTGCATTATTTTGCCACGAACTACCAGTGCACTTTTTGGAGCTGTCGTAAGATTTCGATAAAGGTACTGGTGCTCCCTATTTGCACCCTTCTGTTATCGCATAAGAAAAATATAACGCAGCAATGCATTGACATAACACACGTACGTCGAGCACAAGCTTGGTCCCACCTCTTCAGCAAACTCAGCAATCAGGGCCCGAGGCTGTGCTATGCGCTTGATCTATGTCGCACTAATCTTCAACTTGTATTCGAAGTACTTCTTTTTTCTTTATTACGTACCCCAAGAGCCCTGCCGGCACAGCGATCGCCTAGTTTAATGTCGGCCGCTATGAGGAGTGGCGGATGATCAAGCACCAATCAGGAAACGTTGCTATAATGACAGCTGTTTCAAAAATGCGGCCATTGACTCGCGTTAGACTTTCACTGGAGCTGGAGTCAATATCAAATAATGTTCGCAAATAAAAAAAGAAAAAAAGTCTTTCTATGACCAGGTTCCAGACTATCAAGGCGCCCGGTAACTACTTAGCGAAAGCAGACCGCCAACTGCAAGCAGCTCCATAAAAACAAACCTCATTGTCAATAGAGTTCCTGGGCTTTTATAAAGCAAGCAAGTCATTTATAAAAGCGGGAAAAAACAGAGACAACTGCGAATATAAAAACATGCCTTCTTACCGAATTTCCTTACTCAATGGGCAATTTGCAGTAGTAGCAGAACTGCAGACCTAGCTTGTATGCTATATGCCCTATGTGACCATATAGTTCATCTGGTCGGGTGGCCAGCTCAACTGGACGTACGGCTCAGGTACAGGCGGTGGGAAGAAATGGAACAATTTGTCGTATCGTTCTTGTCTAAATACATGCTTTAAAAATAAATAGCATTATTTGTTGCTCAGTGCATCACTGGCAAAAGAACAAGGGCACAAGCAAGATGAAAGACGCTATCGGTATAGCGATGTCTTCTGTCGCATAACCACGGTTCGTATGTACAGCGACTGCTTCTCTTTCGACATATGAAATATACAATGCGTGGGCCTCACGCATTACTGTTCAACCATTTTGACGTTTGTCTCGGTGGCTTCCTGTGTCCAATTTTGTGCAGAGAAAGCTGTTATGGGATCAGAACACGAGTCACATGCAGTGCCATAGTTGTCCGCCACCGCCATCTCCGCCGGTGTTAACCAGTATCGCAAGAAATAAGAAAAAAACTCAGTAAATAAAAACAGCAAGAACACAATGGGTTTCGACCCCGGGTGCGCTGCGTTCCACCCCAGTATTCTACCACTGAGACACACCGGGGTTCGTAACTCATTTGCAACCTGGCCTTAGGCCGGCTTGATGTCAGGAAAGAAATCGCGTTAATATGAGTAATGAAGCATTTTACAACATCAAAGGAATAACCGGGCGTCACACAGTGTGAATTGCGTAAAGAATGGGTCGTCCAATGCTTCAAATCATTACAAAAGCTTGATATTGTTCACCTGTTAAGGCAAAATTCTTCATCGTCACCACCCACTGAATAAAAAATTGCACAAAATTATTAGCGAGTCTATAGCGGATACCAAGCTTCTTCAAAGAATGGCGAAGGATAGAATAGTAAATGCCGGCCTCCATCCAGCTCAATAATACGGATAAATATGAATGATCATCATCCAACTTATTAATACGAAGAAATAGAAATGATTATGGAGAGAAACCAGGGATACTATAAGTACGATATATGGCTGCAAAAAAAGAAAGAATTTGCTTGAAAACGCCTCACAACTGACAGCGGAATTCACTGTACGACCACATACACGTTCAGCGGCTGAGATCATATCTATACGTTGCTGCTACCTTGCCAAGTTGCCGACAGCAGGAGCGTCAACGTATAAAATTCAGAGCGTAAAAACATTCTTACATATGGGGGTAAGACATCTCATGTATAAGGAGGACATGCTAAAGTTTGCGCAGCGCCATTAACCGCCCTAGCGGAAAGAGGGCAAATCTCCGGTCGTTCGAATGGGCCGCGCTTGCTGGGTTTTCCCATTGTGCGCACGGAAAACGTGTTCCTTGGAGCGCTTATGTCGCATTTTGCACGCTATGGGCAGCGTTCCTTCGCCATTCTGGAAAGCAAGCACGCACTACTGCTGCATTGTGAGCTGCTACAAAAGTTTGAACATGACGAAGACCTCCAAGCTGCCCATCAAGTTCTAGCGTTTTTAATGCAAGCAAAGAGAAGCAAAGGCGTCAAGAGTGGATTAAGCCAGCTGCGTTTCCTCGGAAGCAAAACGCAGTAACAGTGCGCTCAGATTTTGGCGCAAGAATGACAGACAGGGCGTTGTTGTGTTGCATAGTTCAAGCGTACGGTGGTATGACGCTCAATGTAAGCAGAAGTGACGCTTGGTGTGTATGCACCCTCCGTCCGTTATCGTCGCACTGTATACACTTCAAGTAGATTTAGGTGCACGTTAAAAAAGAAAAAAAAGAACATCAGGTGGCCGGAATAAATCTGGAGTCTCAAACCATGGCGTGCATTCTAAAGATATGATGTTTTTGCACGTAAAATGTTATGTCTTTGCATTATTATGTCCGAGCCGTGAGCGATATTCAGCTGCCACTATAAAAACGAGTTGAAAAAAGAACCAAGGCAGATATAAAATTTTTGATGGCATCGCAAAATTTCGTGCTCTTTTCAGGGGCAAATCTTGGCGTTAATAAAAACATGCTCGATCCTACTGAGTATTGTGTGATATGACGACGACCAAGCAAGCTGTCAAAATAACCAAATCGACATTTGAATCAGTGAACGGGCTGCGTGATAAGGGTTGGATATTATCCGAAATTAAATATGCGCTGCAGGAAACATGCATGGTTGAAGTGGACATGAAATACATTTTTGTGCGCATCATTACACTTTCAAATGAGCTGCAAAAAATTAAAGATGTCATTGAACTTACGATACGACCTTGTTAACATCCGATGAAAACCTCGGCATAAGATAAACTTTTATGAAACTGAACATTGATTGATTGATTGATTGATTGATTGATTGATTGATTGATTGATTGATTGATATGTGGGGTTTAACGTCCCAAAACCACCATATGATTATGAGAGACGCCATAGTGGAAGATTGCGGAAATTTCGACCACCTGGGGCTCTTTAACGTGCACCCAAATCTGAGCACACGGGCCTACAACATTTCCGCCTCCATCGGAAATGCAGCCGCCGCAGCCGGAATTTGATCCCGTGACCTATGGGTCAGCAACCGAGTACCTTAGCCACTAGACCACCTCGGTGGGGCTTATGAAACTAAACACACCACATTGAAATGGTGCCAGGGACTTAACAGGAAAAACGTAAAATAAGCGTCTTCACACTGACCTTCTAATAAATTGAAAGCGGCGTGACAAACTTGGTATTCAAGCAATAGAAATTCGAATGCTATATATATACACAAATGCATGCGAAAGCGTGGTGGGAGTTTGCCGACAGGTAATGCCGCAGCCATTGCGCGTTTTACCCGTGGCTTATATATAAAATTCGTGCCGTCATCTCCCTTTTAATGTCACAGAAAGGCAGATGTGCCGCATTAACTTTCACATAGCATTCGCTCAAAGACATCGTCTTTGACTTGCTTAGTCCCGCAAAGGTTTAAATGATATCCTTGCTGCGGCGGCTGCATTTCCGATGGAAGCGGAAATGTTGTAGGCCCGTGTGCTCAGATTTGGGTGCACGTTAAAGAACCGCAGGTGGTCGAAATTTCCGGAGCCCTCCCCAACGACACCTCTCATAATCATATGGTGGTTTTGGCACGTTAAACCCCACATAAAAATCATGGTTTAAATGAATCGCTCTCGGTTGAGATAAGCTTCGCGACTTGAAAACGTTTGTGTAATCTATTTAGACCTTCTAAGCAAGTCACAGGTGACGCTGTATGTGGAGGTGACGCTGTATAACGCTGTATAACTGCGCGTGCCGTGCCCGTGCTGAGATGGCGCAGGAAGAAGGTGTGGCCGGGGTACCGAGGGACCAGCTTCTGCTAGAAAGGCGGTGAAACGCGCGCGGGGCAGCGCCCCCTGTTGGGAGGCCCATTTCTTTCCAATTTGCAGTGGAAAATGCAAAGCACTGGAAATGCAAGGTGCCAGTGCACTATGTGCACTGGCAACTTTTTTTTTATCTTTGTTTTTCTTTTAAAGGAAGAAAGGCGCATCGTGCCTACGCGAAAGTACATGTAAACGCATACAAAGAGGGACGTTGTTGGGCTTTGACACTCAGCTGCAAGATTTATTGGAAAAAAAATAGTAATAATATATGCGGCTATTGTTTGAAATACAATAATAGAAGTACTACAAAGCCTAAAAATATACTGGATGGATAAACGAGGAACGTGGAGGAAAAAGAAAACGTCCGATTCAGGTGGGTCCGGCGTAAAAGA